ACAGCCCACACTGCAAACCACGTTCCAGCTCCTCTTCCACGTTCCTGAGGAACTACTGACATCTCATGGACTCATCCCTACGTCCAAAGCCATCTGATCCCTCCTGCTCAGTTCTATGGAAACAGCTGAAAAGCAAATCCTGGAGGAAGCCACCACTCAACCTGAAAAATGCCACTTCTCAGTGGTACAGAGGGTACACCCATCCCAGTGTGGCACCACCAGCACCCCCAGCAGCCTGGGGAGCACCCAGGACAGAGGAGGGACACGCTCTGGGGACCACAGCATGGAGGAGGGGAACCCAGGAAAGCAACAGGTGCCAGCTGAGCCACCCCCCAGCACTGGCCTGTGCCCCCCAAAACCCCGCTGGTTTCTCTCAGCATCACACGACCCAGCTCTTTGCTGCAGAGGGACACAGATCGTGTCTCATCACAGCCCCACGTGTGGAAACTCATCATGCAGGCTCATTGAATTCTTCTCTGCCCATTGTGAATTTAACATACACAGTCCCTTGTTTTCTCAAGCCCACCCATTTTAGAGCCCTCCCTTGCTAGTGAGGGCATGGAATTCTCTGGGAAGGATCTATCTAGAGAAAGCCTGTTCAAGCACACAAATTTTCTGTGCCTGTTTTCCCCACCTCTTCCAGCCATCCACTCCCTAAGCAAGTGGAGCCCAAGGGAGGATGCTCCAGGAGAGTAGCAGAGACCTGCATCCCCACGCACTGTGCCTCCCCAGGATCCTGCATCCCCACGCACTGTGCCTCCCCAGGATCCTGCAGGAAGGTCACTCTGTGCCTCCATACGGTGCCCACACGGGTGCCTTGCTCAGGATGATCCAGAGACAGGGCGGGCATCGCTGCTGTGCCGGGGCCATCCCTGCTGCAGGCAGGTCCCTGGGCACTGTCACCATGGCTACCTGCACATCCACTGCGCATCCCACACCACAGCCCGCGGCCCCCACTGCAGGGGGGAGATCATCGCCTGCTTACCCGGGCTAGAGGAGGGAGGATGCCTCGGGGCAACCACCGCAAAAGCCCATTCCCATTGTCAGGCTGGCACCGGCAGCAGCACCGGGAACCAGAGAGCATTTGGCCCAATTAGCATAACAAATACGGGGGCAGGGTGGAGTGGGGGAGGGTGACTGCAGCCAATGAAGAAATTGTGGAGAGACAGAAAAAGAACAGCTTAAACTAAAAATCAGGGCTGGAAAAACATGGGGGCGGGAGGAAAGCATGGGAATGAGAGAGTCCTGAACGAGCTTTGCCTGGAAATTAGGAGGTTTCTAATCTTCAATACAGTCTCTGGAACAGTTTCCTAATAACAGAAGTAAAGGAACAAAAAACCCCAAAAACTTAACTGAGGCTTAGCATGTTTGTGAAGACATTACACGAGACAGTAAAGTCTAGTGGAAGATGTCCCTGTCCATGGCAGGGGGGTTAAAGCTGGATGATCTTTAAGGTCCCTTCAACCCAAACCATTCTGTGGTGCCGTGGTGCCTGCAGCAGCAGGGCACTGGGCTCACTGACCTGCTGTGTCCCCTCACACCTTCTTCTGCCAGGGGCTGCTCCTCCAGCCCCCCCTGCCCTGCAGCCCAGCCTTGGCACCAGGCAGGGATGCTGCAGCTGCTGAGGCCAAGCTGGGAGGGTGCAGGGTCAGACCTCAGCAGCCGGGGCTCGGGTTCAAGGCCAAGCACATGGTTCCCTCTGAATGGTGCAGACGAGGAACACAGGGCTTGGACTTGAGCTTTTTCAAATCCTGGTACCTCTTGTCAACATCACCTATATTTTTTCCACCATTTTGGGTCATTTTTGCAAGAGCCAGGTTAGATTCAAATCAGAGTCAAGAAACAGTCTTTCTGTTTTGGCATCCAACTTGGAGACAGATGTTAACTTGAAGCAGGGATTCATCTGCCCCCATGAGATTGCAAAGAGGTCTGGAGAGAATGAGCTGTTTTTAGCTCCTGGAAAAAAATGTCTCTGCTCCTGTTGCTGCTGAAGTCCTGTTCCTGTTTCCACAGCAGCCGCCAACAACACCCAGAGCATCTGACCAGGTACACAACAGGCAGCAGCAGGACAGGGACCCTTCAAGCAGCCCCCAGAACTCTGCCACCATACAGACATGCTTAGGGATGAAGGGAGGGGAGGATGATAAAACAAACAAGCAAAGAAAAAGGCAGTTTTGTTGCTGTGGTTATCATCCCCTGTGGGAGGAACCAGCAACAGAGGGAGAATGCAGTATCTGTGAAACGTGGTGTGTGCAAGCGCGAGCCTGCTGCCTGCAATCACGATGCTTTTGGATCTGAATTTAGACTCTTTGGCCTGATTCCAACCCTCAATAAGTCGTGCCGTGTGGACAGATATTATGTCCCTTCTGCTACTAAAACAACAAGCAGCCTTAAATAAAGCAGCAGAGCCTGGAGCGTGCAGAAGACACCGGCACCTGGCAGGATCCATCTCACGCCCTGCATTCACCAGGGATGCAGGAGACATCTCACGCAGCCCTCACAGGCTCTGTGGAGCTCCACACGGGGAACACCGGTGCTGTGCCCTCGGGGGTGAGCAGGTTGAAGGGAAATGCTCAGCCTGGCGAGCAGACATTGCGCTGCTTCCCCGGCAGGGATGAGCTGCAGCCTCGCTCAGGGACAGCGACGGGGAGGGTCATCCTAGCGGACTGGCGCGGGGTGCGCGGGGAGGCTCAGACGGCCCTTTTCTGTGTGAACACCTGGGGCTCCCCAGCCAAGGAGGTGCCCGGGGGGGGCAGGACCGAGCCCCCCGAGCCCCACCGAGCCCCACCACCGCCGTTCCCGGGGCCAGCGGGCAGAGCCCCGCACGGAGCGGTGCATGACTCCCCCTTGAACGGTCAATATTTAAGAGCACCGCCGGTAACCACCCCGCCGTCACCCCACACACGGGTCCCGCTCCCAGCCCCCGGCCCCGAGCCCCCGAACAGCCCCCGGGTTCTGGGTCCCGATGCCGGCCCCGAGCCCCCGCGCAGCCACCGCGGCTCCGGACGCAGCCGGAGAAGCCGAGAGCCGTGGGGCTGCCGCGCGCCCCGCCACGAACCCGCACGTACCGCGGAGGATGGAGGATGGAGCCCGCAGCCCCGCACCGTCCCTGCCGAGCCCGCAGCCCCGCACCGGCCCTGCCGAGCCCGCAGCCCCGCACCGGCCCTGCCGCTCCCGCCTGCGGATCCCGCCGCGGTGGCGGAGCCGGCCCCGCGCGGGGCGGTGCGGGGCGGTGCCGGGAGGTGCGGGGCGGTGCAGAGCAGTGCGGGGCGGAGCTGCGCCCGCACCCCGCCCGCCGCCGCGGCCCCGGGATCCCGCATCGCGCGCGGGCACCGAGGCTGCGGGGGCACCGAGGCTGCGGGGGCAGAGCCGACTCCTGCCGCCCTGCCCTGCCCTGCCCTGCCCTGCCCTACCCTGCCCTGTCTGCTCAAAGCCAGCCACACGTCCTCGACGTGGGTCCCTCCTCACTCCCATCCCAAGCAGCAGAAGCTGAACCGGGCGGCCCGGCCCGGCTCGGTTCACAACAGCTCCGTGCCCCAGCAGGGCCAGCAGCTCCACTGCCCGGCCTCAGGCAGTGCCCCGCGGCCGCGATCCCGTCTGCTGGCACAGCCCGAGACCGGCAAACCCGAGACCCGCCCAGCCAGAGCTTGCTTTTGGGCTGCCTTGGGCGACGGCCCCAGTCTGAGCAAACATTTTATCCCCATAAGACAGGTGCTGCTCATAACTGGCCGCTGGTATCCCACAGACTCTCCAGACTGCTCCAGGTAACTTCCCATCTCTGTGGGAAATCAAAAGAATCCACTGAAATTAACCCCATCGGGAAATCAAATTAATCCAGTGAAATGAACCCCAACAGCACTTAACATTAATTATAAATGATGTTACACGCATTTCAGTTGCACATGCCAAATGATACACGTGCATCAGGGGTGAGGTTAACACAGTCTCTGACAGCAATTTGCAAAAATTAGTTGAAATCAATAACCAGCACAGTCATCTCAGTTTCTAGAAAGCCTCTCCAGCGGCAGGCAGAGGAATCACCATCACGGGAAGCAGCTGGCAGCAGCAGGCATGTATGCCATGGCTCCTGCAGAGAACAGCAGGTCCTTGCACTCCTAGAAGTCTCTTCCACCCTGCTCCAGGGCCTCTGCACCCCCAGAGACGCCTTGCCCTGCAGGAAGAGCACCCACAGCCCTTCCTACCCTGGGAAAGCTGAGCCTTTTGGGTACCCTTTCCCTCTGCAGCCACCCTCCCACTGCTGTCCTTGTCCGTGTGATTCTGGGCAGATAAATACTTCAGGGCTTTGAGGGCTCTTGGAGCAAAACTGCTGTTGAAATGGAGAGGGAAAAGCTTTTAGTGTGGCAGCCACTCGGGGACTCAGCCTGTTCCAGAGCTCTTCGCAGGACGGAGAACAGACGCTGCGCTCTCTGTGTCTGGAGGCCCGTGAGGCTTTTATGCTAATGGTGTTTTATCATCAAACACAGGATGGGAACAGACAGCGATGCATATGCATCAGCAGGGAGAGCCACGGCATATGCCTGGGATGCAGCTCCCAAGGGGAGAATTTAAGCACTGAACAAAATCGGAATATCAGAACATATATTTTCCAATGATCACTGATGGCTGGGCCCTGGCTCCCAACTGGTTTTTAAGTAAATATTAAGTGTGCTGCATGCATAAAGCAGATCCTCAACAGGTTTGTGCTTGACCACAAGCACAGGGAGTTTAACAGCAAAGTTTGGGTGGACAGGCAGTAAGTCCCTTCCACTGCTTTAAACCTAATGGCACGTACGTGGTGTTTGCAGCTCCTGGTACAGCTACTGCACCTGGAACTTTATTTTAAAGCAAAGCCCAAGATGTTCAGGTGTCCCAGGGCTCCCAGACAGGCTGGGCTTAGGTGGCCCATGTCAAAACCATGAGGGCTTGTGACAGAGCAAGCAGCACCGGCGGGTGATGTGCCCGTGCTCCCCCCAGCCCTGCACCCCCCGGCCCCCCCTTACCTGGTGGGAGAGCCCAGGTCTGCCCGGCTGACGATGCGGTGCTGGTGGGGGGAGTAGAGCCACTGGAAAGCCGTCAGTGTCCTCTCCTCGATGCGAAAGCGGCCCTCTCGCACGTACCTAAAAATAACACCCAGAGGGACTGAAATATTCATTAGTGCTGGATTGCGGGGAGGGAGAGGCAGGACACAGGGAGTGGCTGGCTCGGCAGTGCCACTGGGAGCTGCGAGTCCAACACCACCACGTTCTCCAGTGGAAGCAGAAAATGACATTACAGACTCTCTCCCTGCATCCCTGCACCATCCCTGCCTCCCACTGCCCAGCAGCCAACTCTCCCACAGGCACGTGGCCGTGGCTGGGACGGGGCATTCCCTGAGGGTGACCCCCAGAGAGGGGGTCCCTGCACCCTCCAGGTGGGCATCTGTGGGGCCGCTGCCAGCTGCAGCCCCTGTACAGCCCCCAACCAGCATGGGACCCCTGGGCCAGACCCATGAGCACACACAACTGCCACGCGCAAAAAAGCAGAGAGCAAACATTTCCAAAGCAGCACAGGATATTCCTCTGTCAAGGCCCGGGGGGCAGAGGTACAGCACTGTCACCCTGGGGCACAGCCTGCCCCTGATACCCACCCACCTCCCCACCACCACCAGCCCTGTCCCTAGGCCATCACTAGCTTTGGGGCCAAGATAATGCCTTTCTAGCATCATTTCAAATGTCAGGCCAGATGTTGAGGCTTATTAAGTAATATTCAAGTGATGATGGTTATGAATTCAATTAAAGAAGTACGGATTCTCTGTCAAGTGAGCAAAAGCCTGGTAACCACAGTTGTTCTCATCTTTTAGAATAAAATCCTGCTGCCTGCCTCCACCCCAGCAGCCAGCTGCACTTCACACACCCTGCTCTGAACATGAAATTTCATCAGCAAGCCATTAATAATTCAAAGCCCCCGTGGTACTGGCTGGAGCCTCACGCACACACAGCTGCAGAGCCCATGAACCTCAGCCAGGGCTGGGGTGAGCTCGTGTCCTCTCCTCTGCGTGGGGATGCTCCAGGAGGTTCATTGCCAACATTAACCACGAGGATCTGGCCACGTTGCTTTGCTGGGGCAAAGGGGATGCCCCACAGTGCCATGAGCTCCACGCAGCCCTGATGAGCCCCTTGCTGCTGCCGGGCTCTGCCTCCTGCCTGAACCCACCCTGCCCAGCCCAGCACTGGGGGGTCCTGTGGAGCAGGGGGTGCAGGAACCCGGACCTCCTGCTGCAGCTAAAGGAAAGGCTCCTCGAGCATCCCCAGCACAGAGTGACCTGCCAATTTTCTTGGTAAAAGCAACCAAGCATGGTGCAGTCCCAGTGCTCCCTGCAGCCCTGGTATACCATAACCCTGCACAGAGCAGAGGCAGGGAAGCCAGGGTGTCCTTTGGGAAGTGAGGGGTGAGGCAGTGGAGACGCAGAACAGCCAGCCCAAGTGGCTGCTGTAACAGTTTGTGTCTAAGGGTGCAAAGAAAAAAGTGTCCTTGTCTGCAAGGAGGGAGGGAAAGGGAGAGGAAAAAACAAAAAACCTTCAGTGACTCCCACTCTGGCTACTCGCCCGGGACTGGGGGACTCCCACCCACAGCTGGGGCTCTGGTACCCAGCCCCGGCCCGGCTCAGGCTCCGATCCCGCCCGGGAGCTGCCGGGACCAGCCTGGGCCCCATCCCGGAGCTTCCATCAGTGTCCCCGCGGAGTCACCGAGCCACAGCTTGGCATCGCCGCAGCGCCCTGCTCAAAAGTCACAAGCTTCGGACGTCACAAACTGCACAATTCAACATAAAAGAACACAGAGAAAGCTTGTTCCCAATGTCAGCCCGTCCCGGTCGCTCCGGGCACGGCCAGCGCCCTGTTCCCAGCCCCATCCCTGCACGCCGGAGCTCGGAGCAGCCCCAGCACCCCACGCGTGTCCCGGGGACTCCCCTCGGGTGGGGGGACCGCGGCATCCCCGGCACGCTGCCGCTCCCACGCTTCCTTCTTCGCAGGCAGGGACCTTTCCAGGGGCAGGAAGTCTTTGGGATCCGACTCTTCTGCCTCTACAGGAACCCAAATCCCAGCAATCCCCCTCCAAGCACGGATCCGCCCTCTCCCTGCACCCCAGCGTGTTCCCCCCCAGCTGGAGCAGCCGCCCCGCCGGGAACCCCCGCACCGGGACACCCCCCGACAGCCGGGACCGCGCGGAGCCCCTCGCGATCCGGGGCGAGCTCCCGTGTCCCTCCGACCCCACCCGGGGCTCCCCCGCGAGGGCTCCTCTCCCTTAGCATGGGCTGGGAGCACCCCCCACCCTAAAGCCCAAACCCCCCCCACAAACCGAGACCCTCCCGCTCGGGTCTCCCTTCCGAGCCCGCCGGGTCCCCCCTCCGCACTCACCAGCGCACCAGCTCCCACCGCCGCTCTCCTGCCGCTTTGCCAGAGGCCATCCCAGGGGTCCCGCCGGGCGGGGGGGGGCCCTGCAGACCCCGCTCGGAGCCGGCGGCGGCTCCTCAGCACCGGCCCCGGGGCTGAGCGGCTGCGGCGGCTCCGGCGCTCCCGCTCCCGCTCCCGCCCCCTCCGGCGCCCGGGGGGACCCGGCACGGGGGGGCCCCTCGGCCCCGGGCAGGTGCGGGGGGGCCGCCCCTCCCTGCCCGGTTATGTAAAGCGTTATGCAATGTTCCCCACCGGGGCAGCCCCGACGGACGGCCAGGAGGGCACACAACCCCCCGGTACCCCCCTGCGGACCCCGGAGTCTCCCACCGACCAGCTGGATCCCGTCCGGGGCTCCAGGGAAACATTCCTTTTCCAGCCTTTCAGATGCTTAGAGCAAGTCTGCGCCGAGCATCCCAAAGGACCTTGGGAACGGCCACCGGGGTAAAGAAACCCTGAAACGATCCCCCGCCAGCCCGGCCCTCCCCAAACCCCCCCCTCACTCCACCCCTCACAACCAGCGCGCAGGGGTGAGTGGGGGCCACACCTGCACAATCTGGGGGCTGGACCCCACCCCTGGTTCTGTCACAGTTCCTGCTCGCCGTGAGAGCACCCACCCAACTCGGCAGAACTATTCTCTCATAGATTAGAAGGAGCCCCGAGCTGGAGGTTCCCCCAGGAGCCCCTGGGTGCTGTGGGGGGGCTCAAGAAGTAAATCAGGAGCACAGTGTTCCTTCAAGGAGCTTCAAATAACACTGAAAGTGGTGTCCTGGCACTAAATCCTCACTTTCCTGGTCTTTGAGAACTTTAATTCACAGCTCAGCAAACCCAAGTGCTGCATCCATAATCCAACAACTTCATTTAAACCAAACGGCATTAATGACTGAAGTAAATCCCTATTATTGGTAATTCTGGAGTCCTGCTGTTGTTGGGTCCAAACACATCCGAAGAGCTCTGGTGCCTCCTCGCAGCTGGGCAGCAGAGGGTGCTTTGCTGTGCCAGCTGGAGAGGCTGTGCCTTGCCTGGGCCACAGAAAGGGAATCAGATGGGGGTCTTCCGAATCTGGGCAGTGCCCTGCCCTCTGGAGGGGCTCTTCCCTCCCATAAGTTACAGGCTGGAGGGAACAGCCTGCCCAGACAGACCGTGCCCACCCAGCAGACGGGCAGCTGGCACTGCTCTGCCACAGGGGCTCAGCACCCTGGCCCTCAGCTGGGTGTGCCAGCTGAAATGGTAGCCAGGAAATCACTGGTATATCACATTTGGTGACCAGGCAGCACAGGGCTCACTGCTTGGCAAGGCCCTGCTCTGCAGAGCCCCAGAGCTGTGCTGGGCCTCACGTTTGCACACACAGAGGGAGCCCCAGGGGAACGACTGAGGGGGTCCCACCGCTCCAACCACTTGTGCTGCCCCCCAGAAGGGGAGAGCCATGGATGACCCTTCACTGACCCTCACCCCAGCCTTGGCTTCTCTCTCTACCCCCTGTACCCCACTTCAGGAGGTCATGGGCAGGGGACCAGCGATGGGACGGGGGGAGGAAGGAGAGGAGGCTGAAACTCGCCCTCCTGCCTCTGGAGACCAGGAGCTGACCCACCCCTGCTTCAGCACAAAGATCTTTGCAGACCTCAGAGATTTAAAAGTAAAAACAACTTTTATTTTAAAATATTTGAAAAATTGGAAAAAAGTTCTAAAATAATGAGAAAAATAAAAAACTGGAGTGTTCACATATCACATACATACTAACCTGTAGGCATAAATTGCATTGCTTAGCTCAAGCAAATATCCTTATGAGTAGATATTTTACAGTCCCTGTGGAGATGTTAAGCTAATGTTAAATTTATTAAAACCCTCCAGCTTTTAGCCTTTAGACTTTAAGGAGCCTCTTATTAGGTTCTTCAAAGCAATTAGAAGATACACACGCTATGTTTCAATTAGGCTGAAAAATAGTATTTGAGGCGAAGTTAAACTCATTTTTAAATTAAATGCAAAAATCCCCCTAATAATTAACTCGGGGGTAGGGAGGGGGAAGCTCTGGTCTCAAAGCACTCCCATAGTCAGCCATAGCCCATAGAAGGGTGCAGGATTCAGGTTTAACTCCAGTACACCCAGGATGATTCCTGTTGGGAATCAGCTGTTTGGTCCAGGAACCGGTCACCGCCGAGGGGATCTGTGCTCACCCAGCGCAGGACCTCGGCCACATCCAGACTCACAGGCAGAAGCTCCATCCCTCAGCTCCTCCAGCAGCCCAGGAAGGAGGGATGCGTGAGCAGGAGCAGCCCCAGGTGCTGCCCGGGGCTGTCTCTGCCCACTGGCTGCGGCGCCGTGCGGGATCCCCGCCGTCCTTACCTGCCCTCCCGGGACAGGTGTCTCGGCTAAGACGGGATCAACCAGACCTCAGTGTCGGAGCGAGACTCAGAGGCCTCTGAGGGCAGAGCGAGGCCTCAGAGCACACCTGACCCGCGGTGCACAGCACACCTTCACAGCACATCTTACCCTCGGTGCACAGCACACCTCACCCGCGGTACAGCACACCCCCAACACAGCACACCTCACCCGCGGTGCACAGCACACCTGACCCGCGGTGCACAGCACACCTCACCCCGCAGGGCAGCACGGGTGCGACCCCCGCCCCGGCCCTCCCGCAGCCGCCCTCCCGCCTGCCCAGCACGGGCTGCGGGCTCTCAGCTCGGCCACAGCGGGAACCCCCGGCAGCACCGGGGCTGCAGCCCGACAGGACCGTGCTCCAGTGCCACCCACACCCGCAGGGCCGCACGGACGCTGCCCGCACTGGTGCCGGTGCCAGCACCGCTGTCCTTACCGCTGCCGGTACCGCTGCCGGTACCGCTGCCTGCGCCGGTGCCGGTACCACTAGAGGTCAGTGCCGGTACGGAGGAACGGCAGCGGCCGCGGCCGAGCCCAGCCCTTCTCGGCAGAGCTGCCGCCCGCAGCCCCACCCGCAGTGCTCGCATCCCGCATCCCTCATCCACACATCCCCGCATCCCGCACCCCTCATCCACTCATCCCCGCATCCTCACATTCCTGCGTGCCACATCCTGCATCCCCACATCCTCTCATCCTGCATCCCCTCAGTCTCCACCAGTCTCGCTCCAGGGGACAAACCCCGCCGCTGCAGCAGAACCCGGGGCCGAGGTGCACAGCGGGTCCCCCCGTGTCTGCTGCCCCCATTGCCACCCTGCTGAACGCCGGGGTGACGGTGCGCAGGGGCTGTCAGCGCCCTCACCGAGGCACAGGGCAGTGAGATGTCTCCCAGCTGGAGTACAATGGGCAGGGAGCTGACGGGCTCTGCCCAACAGCCTCCAGAGCTCAGTCACGCATCTGGACTGCAAGCAGGGACCCCGCAATTCCTCCTGAAATGGCATTCCTGCCATTTTTGCCTCATTATGTTGATCACAAACAACCTCAGATCTGTTCGAGAAGCAGCTCCTGTCTCCTGGAGCAAGGGAGGAGTGGGGAAGGGTCACAGCATAACTGCAGTGCAGGACATCACGGTGGCTGGAGGCATCAGCAAAGGGACTGCCAGGTCCTGCTCAAAAAAGCTGCCAGTGAAACCAGTTCACTGTGGAACTGGTGATGGGAAACACGAACGGAGTGTGTGCATCAGGGTGACCCCAATCTGCCAGGTGGTCGCTGTGGAGGCAGCTGGAGTTATCCTGTGCCATGCTGGGTGCAGAGATGCGTGGTGCTCTGCTGCCATCCGGCGTGGCAGGCTGATCCTGGAGCGATGACCTCATTTACAGAGCGGCTCTCCGTCCCTGACTGCCTGACCTTGACTGTTTTATCCAGTGGAAAATCAATGAAAATTGTTCAAACCTCGTGAAACATGATGCACTCAGACATCCCCTCTCCCCTCCTCCCATCTGTAGCTCGCTGTTACTCAAGTTAGCTCACAAGTTAGAGGAAGACACAATGTGACATTAAAAACACCCCCACACCCTAAACATGGCACACTGCCCTGAGAGGGACAAGTGACAGCTTGGCAAGCGTTGACCTGATGGTCACAAATGGGTGAGAGAGGCTCCTAATGAGACAGCACTTCTCCAAACAAGAAAGGCTGCACTCTTCTCCTTCACCCAGGCATCTGCCACCTCATAACAACTTGTTGTTGCAAGAAGAACTCATTTTCCAGAGAAAACAAGTTGAGAGGAGACCCACACAGGAGTTGGCATGGCTGGGTGAGCACTGGGAAGCCCTGAAGCTCTCGGTTGTGCTGGCTGAAGCTGCAAGCAGATCTGTCTGAATAACTCATTACAAATCAGCAGCTTGTGTGTGCATGTGGAGACCCTCAGACCCCACTGCTCACCTTTTCTCCTTGATTTAATGATTTCTCTCTTTGTGCAAACTAAACTCAATCTCTCAATGAGCCCTAACACCAAACCCAGCCTTCCTCTGCTACCAGACACAGCAGGCCAGGCTGGACCACACTGCTGTGCATCAGGTCCAGTCCTCTGTGCTCCATATCACACCTGCAGCATGTGCTTCGCTGCAGGCACAGCACAGTCTGTTGGCCATGGCACACCCTCGGTCACTCTGTGGAGCACAGCACTCACTCAGAGCCTGGAAGCGCCCAAGAGAAGGGAAGGATGTGGGATGGTAGAATATATCACAGACCATACCCTGTGGGCTGCCCTACAACTCCTCCGTGTGGCGGTTGTGGGCTGGTATAAGCAGAACTGAAGTAGTTTTAATGTGAGGATGGCAGCACAACCCAGCTGAGCGTCAGAGCAGGAACGCTGCACTCCCTGTGGCAGATTTGGGTTTAAGGGAACGGGGATCAGCAGACTGTCAGCTGACGGGGAGGACGCTACCATTTCCCTGCGCCGTCACTGCCGCGCAGCGTGGAACAGGCCACCGCATCCCAGCTCCCCCGCCAGAGCAGAGGCGCAGGGGATTGAGTCATCTTTGAATGTGGAGCCCCAGCTGGTCTGGGCGCTGCAAACAAAAGGCATGAAGGATCAGTTATCACATGAGTAAACAACCTTTTTGCGCTGTCTCTATGACCAGAGCTTTGCTGGTTCAACCCACTGATTTCCAGGCTGCAGGCGGTACCGGCCCACATTTGACTCACATCCCCCCGAGAGGCGGTAACACCGCAGCCCCCCCCCCGGGGACACACCGCCGCCGCCTCCCCCGCAGACCCCGAGCCCCCCGCTCTGGTCCCCTGGAGCTGCTCGGGGGGTCCCCGCGCCCGGGGCTGGGCGGGCGGCGGGACCCGGCGCGGCTTCAGCACTGCGGACAGCGGCGGGGAGCGGCGGCCGCGGGGTCTGGGGGAGCGGGGGCAAGAGAGTCCCCGGGGAGCGGGAGCGGAGACACGAGGGTCCCCCGGGAAAGCAGCCCAGCCCCACCGGAGGTCCCGGAGAGCAGAGTCCCGAGAGTCCCGGGGAGCGGGACCCAGACCCACCGAAGGTCCCGAGAAGCGGGAGCGGGGCCCGAGGGTCCCGGGGAGCGGCTTCCCCATCTCACCGAGGGTCCCGGGGAGCGGCTCCCCCATCTCACCGAGGGTCCCGGGGAGCGGCT